GGAGAGGACTGCAGTAGCTTTTCTGCGGGTTGACGATGAACATATGAAGGTGTTTGAGAATCGGGTGAGGCAGATCCTTATGTCATCAGGATCAACAACCTTTACCAAGATCGTCAACAAATGGAATACAGCTCTAATTGGTATAATCCTAGTAGTCATTTTTGGCACCATTCTTAGCTTTTTATGATGTGTGGTTTAGCATGAAACTGATCACATATGCTTTTATTAACAGGTCTCATGACTTACTTCCGCGAAGCCACCGTGCACACGCAAGAGCTCTTGGATCTACTGGTCAAGTGTGAGAATAAAATCCAAACAAGGATTAAGATTGGGTTGAACTCAAAGATGCCTAGTCGGTGAGTAAAAACCATCTTATTTAATTTATGTTTGACACAGCAGAGCTGTGTGTTTAGTTTCTGTAACCTGATTTTGCTACTTCCTCATTGGCAGATTTCCTCCTGTTATCTTCTACACTCCGAAGGAAATTGGTGGGCTTGGAATGTTGTCAATGGGTCATATATTGATCCCACAAAGTGACCTTCGGTACAGCAAGCAGACAGATGTTGGTGTAACCCACTTTAGGAGTGGAATGAGCCACGAGGAAGATCAGCTTATACCAAATCTTTACCGTTACATACAGCCATGGGAAAGTGAGTTTATTGATTCACAGCGGGTGTGGGCAGAATATGCTTTAAAGAGGCAGGAAGCGCAGGCCCAAAATAGGCGTCTTACACTGGAAGATCTGGAAGTAAGTATCATACTAGTGTATCTGTTAATGCCAAATTTCTAGAGGGATATTAGGCGTGATAGATTGCTTTTTTTTTTTGTAGTCTTGGAAGTAGTCTATTAGGGTCGAAGCACAAGTATTATTTTGATTTTTTATTTGCTTCTAAATGTCTGATTATTGAGCAGAGAATAATAACTCATGTATTTAAATTATGACAGGATTCTTGGGATAGGGGAATTCCTCGTATCAATACACTGTTTCAGAAGGATAGGCACACATTGGCGTATGATAAAGGTTGGAGGGTTCGGACCGACTTTAAGCAGTACCAAGTCCTTAAACAAAATCCTTTCTGGTGGACACACCAGAGGCATGATGGGAAGTTGTGGAACTTGAACAATTACCGCACTGATGTCATCCAAGCACTTGGAGGTGTTGAGGGTATTCTTGAGCACACGTTATTCAAGGGGACATAGTAAGTCTTTTCATTTCTCCTTAATATTATGAGCTTTGCTTCATAATAGCATATGATGTCCAGTTTCTCACAGCTGTTGCTAACTTTTTCATACTTTACATGAACTCAGTTTCCCTACATGGGAGGGTCTTTTCTGGGAGAAGGCATCTGGTTTTGAGGAGTCGATGAAATATAAGAAGTTGACTAATGCGCAGAGGTCTGGTCTGAACCAGATTCCAAATAGAAGATTCACACTTTGGTGGTCGCCAACAATTAATCGAGCCAATGTCTATGTGGGTTTCCAAGTGCAGTTGGATCTGACAGGAATATTTATGCATGGAAAGATTCCGACACTTAAGATATCTTTGATCCAAATTTTCCGTGCCCATCTGTGGCAGAAGATCCATGAAAGTGTTGTTATGGATCTTTGCCAAGTATTGGACCAAGAGTTGGACGCTTTGGAAATAGAAACTGTGCAGAAGGAGACAATTCATCCAAGGAAGAGTTATAAGATGAACAGCTCTTGTGCTGATGTTCTTCTCTTTGCTGCTCATAAATGGCCAATGTCTAAACCTAGTCTGGTTGCTGAGTCTAAGGATATGTTCGACCAGAAAGCTAGTAACAAATATTGGATAGATGTGCAACTTCGATGGGGAGATTATGACTCCCATGATATTGAGCGTTATACCAGGGCCAAATTCATGGATTATACAACTGATAACATGTCTATCTATCCATCTCCAACAGGTATTTATTACTTTTCCATTTTGTTTTGTTTTGCTAGTCTTTGCTTTTCTGCAGCATGTACTAACTTCTTACAAAATCCGTGCAGGTGTAATGATTGGGCTTGATCTGGCATACAACTTGCATTCTGCCTTTGGTAATTGGTTCCCAGGTTCAAAACCTCTTCTTGCTCAAGCAATGAACAAGATCATGAAGGTACTAGAATTTTTTTTTGGTGTCTTTTGCAGGACTCATTTTGTTTAGATATGTGACTTATCGTTAAAGTTTACATATTGCAGTCAAATCCGGCTCTATATGTTCTGAGAGAGAGGATAAGGAAGGGTTTGCAGTTATACTCGTCTGAGCCTACAGAGCCATATTTGTCATCTCAAAACTATGGTGAAATATTCAGCAATCAAATTATATGGTTTGTTGATGATACGAATGTTTATCGTGTCACGATTCACAAGACATTTGAAGGAAATTTAACGACGAAGCCAATCAATGGTGCGATTTTCATTTTCAATCCAAGAACTGGGCAACTGTTCCTGAAGGTATTTTTTCCTCTCCCACACTTTACATTAAGAACAGGCATATATTTTATTCCACAAAACTACTACTTCTGTTTAACTCTTATCACATGCTGTGGGATCTCAAGTAACTGAGTTCTTTTTGTCCTCTAGGTTATCCATACAAGCGTTTGGGCTGGTCAAAAGCGTCTTGGCCAGCTAGCAAAATGGAAAACTGCTGAAGAGGTTGCTGCACTTGTGCGATCTCTCCCTGTTGAAGAACAGCCAAAACAAATTATTGTTACGCGGAAAGGAATGTTGGATCCCCTTGAGGTTCACTTGCTGGATTTCCCTAATATTGTTATCAAGGGAAGCGAGCTGCAGCTTCCATTCCAGGCCTGCCTAAAGATAGAGAAATTTGGTGACCTGATTTTGAAGGCCACAGAACCGCAGATGGTCTTGTTTAATATATACGATGATTGGTTGAAGAGTATTTCTTCGTATACTGCTTTTTCAAGACTTATTTTGATCCTACGTGCGCTTCACGTGAATAATGAGAAGGCTAAGATGTTGTTGAAGCCTGACAAGTCTGTTGTCACTGAGCCACATCACATCTGGCCCTCTCTCACTGATGATCAATGGATGAAGGTAACTCTTCTGCCACTTTCCCAGTACTTTTTCATTTAATTTGTTTCTTGCTATATTGTTTTGTTTGATAGTATCCCTCTGTATATGCTGTTTTCTGCTTGCTAGTGTATTATATTATATAATGCTTTTACACTTGTCTTTGTTTATATTATATAGTTCTTCCTTATTCACGATTATCTTAAATTCAGGTGGAGGTAGCACTTAGAGATCTTATCCTCTCTGACTACGCAAAGAAGAACAATGTGAATACCTCAGCTTTGACACAATCAGAGATCAGAGATATTATTCTTGGTGCTGAGATTACTCCACCCTCTCAACAGAGGCAACAGATAGCTGAGATTGAGAAACAGGTATTTTTAACTGCTACTTCTATCAAGTGTTCAAACAAACAAACAATGAGAGATTACATATGTTGTTAACTTTAAATATATATCCTATTTGCAGGCAAAGGAAGCCAGCCAGCTTACTGCAGTCACAACAAGAACTACGAATGTTCATGGTGATGAGCTCATTGTCACCACCACGAGCCCTTATGAGCAATCTGCATTCGGTTCCAAAACAGATTGGCGTGTACGTGCAATATCAGCTACTAACCTTTACCTCAGAGTCAATCACATATATGTGAATTCAGATGACATAAAGGTTAGAATCCAAATCACTCTAATTCACTTTGTCAATAAATTAAAAGACTTTCAGGTGTCACCCTTAAACATTATTTCTTGTTGTTCACAGGAAACGGGATACACCTACATCATGCCAAAGAACATTTTGAAGAAGTTCATATGTGTAGCGGATCTTCGTACTCAAATTGCTGGATATTTGTATGGTATTAGTCCCCCGGATAATCCCCAAGTGAAGGAAATCCGTTGTGTTGTGATGGTGCCACAGTGGGGAAGTCATCAACAAGTTCACCTGCCATCTTCTCTTCCTGAGCATGACTTCCTAAATGATCTTGAGCCCTTGGGATGGTTGCACACACAGCCTAACGAGCTGCCTCAGCTGTCACCACAGGTATATTTACATTAGATATACCTGAATATCAGCCTTTTTAAAACCCCATTGCTAACTGATATTTGCTATGACAGGATGTAACCTCTCATTCGCGTATTCTGGAGAACAACAAGCAATGGGATGGAGAAAAATGCATCATTTTGACCTGCAGTTTCACTCCAGGCTCCTGCTCTTTGACGTCATATAAGTTGACCCAAACTGGATATGAATGGGGGCGGCTTAACAAGGACACAGGCAGCAATCCTCATGGTTACCTACCCACCCATTATGAAAAGGTTCAGATGTTGTTGAGTGACAGGTTCCTCGGGTTTTACATGGTAAGAAACACAGTTCCAAGTTCTGCTTATGTCCTTTGGATGGTTTTTATAAACCATTGAAAACTGATTTTTGTAACTTGTTGTTGTGATAGGTTCCTGAGAATGGTCCTTGGAACTACAACTTCATGGGAGTGAAGCACACGGTGAGCATGAAATACAGTGTCAAACTCGGCTCCCCAAAGGAGTACTATCACGAGGAGCATCGGCCCACTCATTTCTTGGAGTTCAGCAACATGGAGGAGGCTGACATTGTGGAGGGAGATCGTGAGGACACGTTTACTTAAGCCTGGCTTACTTGTGTGTAACACTCTCCTTTTCGGCTGTTATTTTGCAATAGAAACTTGTAAGATGTTTGTATGCAAATCAGGGACCGAGTTTAGATGTGTTTTGCGTTACTGAGATAGATGATAACGTACGCCCCTAAATCTTTAAAAAAAAGTTACGATTTAATATCTAATAGTTCCAAAAAAAAAAAGGATCTAATGGGTACATCTGATGCAATCACTAGTACGTGTAAATAAAATGACAATTGTAATTTGTAAACTTTCATAGGTTTCTCTTTCCCATATAGAACTAAAGCCAAATGTTCTAGATTAGATACTCTCTTGTAACTGTGAAGGCGAAGATCAATTTTAAGTTGAAGAAAAGTAGTCGGGGAATATTTACAGCAGTTTTATTATTATAACTTCTTCCTTAATCAGAAGAAATTAGCATAAAAATGAAAAAGAACGAACACAAGGAAGAACGAAGGTAGGCAGGAGAACCCCAAAGACATGGAACTGCTTGAAACGTCCGTAGCTCCGTCCGGCATATCAACGGCTTCTCTAGTTAGATGCTGGACAGTACCGGGAGGACCTGGTGTCGGCGTTTCTCCCTCACACAAGGTGACACTAGAACCAGATGTTGAACCGAATGCATCATCCAAGTCACTGTCCCGGCCCACACACAAACCAGCATTGTTATAGAGCCTCAGCTTTCTCCTCATCCTCCACACTGTGTCTCTCTCGAATGGTACTGGACCTGTCAGACTATTATCGTTGAGCCTCAGCTCGCTTAGATGCTTGGCGTCCCGAAACTCCAAAGGAATCTCTCCGGTCAGGTTGTTGCCCTCCAGGTGAAGCACGCGAAGACTGTTTAACCGAGACAAAGATTTTGGTATGGAGCCCTGGAGATTCATATTCGAGAGCACAAGAATCATCAAGTTCTGGAGCCCTTTGAACGCGTTTTCCGGAATCGTTGCTGAGAATTTTGTGTTGCCTTTGAGCATTAAAGCCTGAAGAGAGTTTAGGCCTTGGAGAGAAGGCGGGAATGGACCTGACAGCCGGTTATAGCTCAAATCCAGAAGCACTAATTGGTTAAGCCGGTTAAACGAGTCGGGGATGGGACCGGAGACTCTGTTTCGGCTAAGATCGATTTTGATCAACGATCCACAGGCGGCGAGCGTGGATGGAACCGGTCCGGTTAACAGATTCTGGTTCAAGTCGAGAACGTTCAGGCCCGGAAGAAGAAAACCGGGAATCGAACCAGTCAAACGGTTGGCACTCAAATCAAGTGATGTCAAACGGGAGAAGCGGTTAAAGGACAAGGGAATGGAGCCGTTGAGATTGTTGTAATGCAGATCAAGAACTTTCAAACTGGTAAGATTGCCCAACTCGTCAGGGATAGGCCCGAAGAAGCCATTCTCCCTCAGAACGAGGGTCTGAAGACTCGACCCGAGGCGGCCAAGAAACGCCGGTATGCGCTGTGGGGAGCGGCCTAAACAGCGGTAGAAGAAGAGGGCTTTAAGGTGTTTAAGCCTCGTCAGGGACTCAGAGACGTAAGAGCGTTCCGGGTCGCATGTCGGGAACGCCGTGTCGTCTGAGAGCGCTCCGAACGACAGAGAGACGACGTGGTACACGTTTTCCTGGTCCGGCATACACTCGATACCGTGCCACCGGCCTCGACACACGTCCGGAATCGCAGCAGCCCAGTCGTTGCCAGTCGCACGCATGATGTCGTAGACGGCGTCTTGCTCGTCGGGCTCCGTTCGAGCCCCGTCGTTGGTCATCGTGAATCCTGTTTGTGGGCCGTCGATCAGAGCCGACGGCGCAGTCGAGTCGGAGGTGATCACGGTGAAAGATGTGACCAACGGAGATATTATAGACAAGACAATGAAGATTTGGCGGTACCGAGCCATTTTTTCGATTTTTGTAATTGGTTGGTTGGTTGTTGCCTTCTAGGCAGAGGTTCCTAGTTGTAATAAGTAGTGCGTGTCCAAATATTGTTGTTAAAAGAAGAAGAAAAGAATAACAATGGTGGTCCAAACCATTAAAAAAAAAAAAAACATTCAGTAATGGCTTTCACGGGATAACTCAAGAGTAGCGAAATAAAACCCCCCAAAAACATTTCCTTATCTCGATTCCTGCATTTATTGCTTTCACGAGATATTCGCCTTGTGTTTTAGGCTCTGGATCCAACCCGCTCCGCGAACGCGACCCGGCTTCTCCTTTCATTCTTTATTCTTTGTTTGCTGGGCCGAGCCCATAAAGAGAGAAGGGCTCCATTTTGTAAAATTGGGAACTGCATTTTTTAACATTTCACCTTTGTTTAATTGTAAAAGTTAAAATCATTATATAGTTGTAACACGGACGCGTGGGTGCCTTCCAAAAAAAACACCTGCCATGATGGAGCACCATATGTAACACGTGCCATCTTCCTAAGTAAACATTGCATGACTAGTTTGTATAATGCACCGGACACAAAGGAGAAAATTAATGCTAATAAGTTTATCAGCATCGTCCCATTTTCTTCGACTATCTTCTGTGCACTCACCCAAACACATGACCACCGTCATGCAGTCATGCAGCCGTCTGATGGAGTTCAAGGTCAAAGACCTTATGCTCGACAAGCGGCGGCTTGTCCAAGTTCCCGATAACGCCACTCTAGCAGACGCCTTGAACACCATGGTAAACCACCGCGTACTCAATTCATATTTATATCTCTTTTTGTTGGAGTTCAATAATTCATATCAAAAATTACTAAAAAACCGACTATTTTGGTATGATCAAAACCGGTGACAAACCGAGTTACAGCTGTGCCGGTCGCTGCCAAACCGGGCCAGTGGCTGGGAGCCGGCGGGTCGATGATAGTAGAATCAGATAAACAGAGCGGCAGTGCAAGGAAACAGTACATAGGAATGGTGACAATGTTAGATGTTGTGGCACACATCGCGGGCGAGGGAGACGACAGTGACAGCGAGAGTGGACTCGATAAGAAAATGGCTGCTCCTGTCTCTTCTATCATTGGTCATTGCCCTGAGGGTCTAAGCCTTTGGTCTCTCAATCCTAATACCAGGTTAATTTGGTTTTTAGTATTGAAGATTAATTGCTAATATATATACTATATATGATCCGTTTCATAATATTAGATGTACTTACACTTTTTCAACAACATTGTTGCAAGACCAAGTATACCGCTATTTCTATCATTAATTATTAGTTGTTTAATTTGGTATTTATACTTCTAGACTAAGAGAGATAAATCAGAAAACAATGTTAAATGCAAATTTTGGGTAGAAATTTAAGTGGAACATGTAGTGTTTGTCTCTTGTAATTAAAAAATAATATCTAGTATTAAAGAACAATGGTGATGATAAAAGCAGCGTAATGGATTGCATGGAGCTGTTGAGTAAAGGAATCCACAGAGTATTGGTTCCATTGGACAGCAACATAGAAAACATCTCAGGACCCGAGCTGGTGGAATCGGCTTCTTCTTACGCTATGCTGACTCAGATGGATCTCATCTCTTTCTTCCTCGACCATCTTCAATGTATCCTCTCCCAAACCGTCACTGATCTCTCCGCCAGACAAGACACCGTTTTAGCCCTCACTAGCCAGGTAAAATTAATCAACTTATTATTATAAATAAAAATAGAATAAAAATATTCTTCAGATCCTAGATTAATTATTAAGACCTGTCTGCCAATGTTTTACAGGCCAGAGTGAAGGATGCGATTAAGTGCATGAGTAAGTCAATGCTCAATGCCGTTCCTATCGTGGAAGCCACCAGCGAGGAAGAGGATCATAAACAGCTCGTGGACGTACGTGACTTTGCTTACACTTTACACATCTATATTATATCTATCCATGATTCTATGAAGCTCTGTTTAATTTGCTCGAGCAGGGGAGAAACCGGAGAGTAGTGGGAACGTTCTCGGCGAGTGATCTGAAGGGATGTCATTTAGCCACGTTGCGGTCTTGGTTACCGCTAAACGCCCTAGAGTTCGTTGAGAAAATCCCAAGAAGTCCCTTGTTCACCGTTGTTGATACACCAGGGAGGGAACTCGTGACGTGTCACGTGACATCGACCTTGGGCAAAGTGTTACGTATGGTGACTATGAAACGTGTACACAGAGTTTGGGTCGTAGACCAGAATGATGGGCTACAAGGCCTCGTTTCTCTTACTGACATTATCGCTGCGGTCCGATCCGCTTTGCTCTCCGGAGCCCGAGATCAGCTTTAACTCCTAACTTTCAGTACTAGCTAGTGGTCTCGGTCTCTATCGAATTCTTACATATTTACTTGTCTTTTTGTCAACTTGTTACAAGTAAATACTTTGTTTTGACAAAAATTGTTAGGGCGTTTCTCATCTCACAGTATCGAATGTTCGGTTTTACATAAGAGTTAGACTAATGTGGGAGGAATATGAATGATGTTTGCTTGAAAACAAAAAAAAAAATAATAATAATAATACAATAAGTCAATACTTGTCAAAATAGGAATGACGAGTCACACTCACACATCTAGATATATGCAGGAACATTCCTTAAACTCGAATTTCTTCTATAAGATATTCTTTTCTAAATATAATATATATATATATATAGCAAAATTATTAATCTGGATCGAACAAATTTTAAGAAAAACCATCATAGATAGGAATAATGATATATTGAGAGGGTAGTGATTGATGAATATGTGGCAAACAAGCATGGCTACGAATGAGACAATTTCTTATGCTAAGCTAGTACAGCAGTATAATTATCATATGATAAAATTAATTTTAATCGGTAATATAACCTTAAAAGGCATATACTCATTACATGCGCTTCACTTTACTAGTTACTCTAATAGTAGTTATTGGAAAAAGTTTATTGCAGTTTGTTGTTTGTTCTGTATCCAAGCACGCTCTTTCTTCTTTTCAGTAATATTTAACTGCGTTTACTATACTATATACTGTATATATATATATATATATATATCTATTTTCATAGTATTATATAGTAGATTCTAGAGTAGCTAGCTCCCAGCCTCCCAATAATTACGTATGAGCACGCTTTTTGTGCTCTAATCAAATTCTTCGTAAATTAATCACCGCCTACATGATTATTTTACTTTTCGGTTCCACGGAAACTAAATAAGAAAGATGATTAATGTGGCCTTATTGTACAATGAACTCGTGCTAATGGGAAACCACGTACGTAACTAGACGTGTTAGAAGTTAGATATAAGCTTACACTAGCTAGTTCATATATACGATAATGAAATACTGAAACGCCTTTTGTTTTGACAAAAAATATATTGTGTCCGTACGTGTTTCAGGTTCAAAATAATACTGAACAAAACCATCTCTATGAAAATATAGATATGGCAGCAGGTTGTAGTCTACGGCCAGAATTTATTAAATCTTCGGATCTTAAGGGAAACAATTCACGCATGTTTAGTTATGTGTTGTGCTTGTGTAGTTTGTTTTTTTAGTTTTTTTTGTAAAATAGTATACTGTAATTTATGTGGTATTGATTAGGTCGAGAAAGAGAAAGGCCTTTTTAAGATAAGTTAGAAGAAGAAATAGAAAAGGATGGATTGAAGAATTTGAAGCATGGAGAATAGCGAACACTCACTGCAAAGTGCAAAGTGCAAAGTTAGTGGGAAAGGTCGCTCGTCGTACGAGGGAGGAGCAACAAAGTGTGGGCCTTTTCTTTTCTTTTTACCGTCTCATCAGAAACTAATGCATATATATATATATCCCCACATTTTTTTTAATTTTTTTTTATTTTACTTTCATTCATATATACTACACAAACTATTACTATTACATCTTGTGCATGCCAGACCATTCCATTAGTGGATTAACTAATTACATGTTACTTATCCTATGTTATTACTATTACATGATTTTATAACTTATTAGAATACAAGCATTTTTTGTATAATCGGAATGTTATTTATCAAGACCTTGTTATTTTACTTGGAGTATGGTAAAAAAAAAATATAAAAAATACTAGAAATTAATCCTAAAAATTTAAGGGTAAATATATATATATAATTTTGAAAGCTGAAACCTGATATCTGACATAGAGAGGCTGCGGGTGGCGTAACCTGATATCTATCTGACAGGGAAAAGCCGGTCGCATGGGTTGTCGGGGAGGGAATTAAGAACGCCGCTATTGGCAGAGTCACGCGGGGTAACCGGCTGTGGGGGGGGGATGTAGCCGGTCACAGAGTTTGAAAAGGTTCTATCGTATTGTCTAGCAAGTACACTTGTACAGTGAATGGTTTTGTTGTGCTAGCTTTTCCTGTGACGGTCCGGTTTATTCCCCACACTCTTCCTCGATTGTGTTACCACTTCTCCCTTTTTTTTACTTGTATATCATGCGCGTGAAACTTGTATATTCTCACGGAAAATTTACAATAATTAACTATAATATTTACTACGGACGTACTCCATAAAGAGAGAGTAAAAGTGAAAGGGAAAAAGGTAAACCTGACTCTTATTTGAGTAGAAACCTCACCTCAGTCATGCATATATATAGCACCTCATCAACATATCCAAAAGCTAGCGAACCTTAGGAGTGTGAGTTCAGTAGTAGTAAAATTAACAAACAAGAAATTAAAGAGGAAAGATCGAATAGTGGAAAACGGGACAAGACGGGTGTGCCACTGTGGATGTTGGGGTTGGGTGTGGACCGGCTTCAAGCCGACATCAACCGGCTCCTAGCCTCCCTTTTCCACCAGGGAGTGCTGGACGAGCATTTCTTGCAACTTCAGCAGCTTCAAGATGAGACTTCACCTACCTTTGTTTATGATGTCATTAATATCTACTTTGATGAATCCGAGAAGCTACTCCGCAACCTCAGATTTTTGCTGTGAGTTTCTTTTCTTTTCTAGCATTCTACGTCTTTGTCTACGTACGTGCCGTGTTTCCATATCCGATCCATCCATCTTTTTTTTTTGTTCGCAACATGTATGTATGTATGTACACGAATGAATGATATGATATATTGTAAATAAATGAACCGTACGTAACTGCAGGATGGATAGAGAATTCTCGGACTACAAGAAAATAGGATTGCACCTGAACCAGCTGGTGGGAAGCAGTTCCAGCATTGGCGCTCGCAGGGTTCGTAACGTCTGCGTTGCCTTTCGCTCCGCTGCCGAGCTTAGCAACCGCCCAGGGTATACTTAGAAACGCTATTTCCTAATCTGTAATATAATCCATTGAGGTAAATATCCAAGTCAATGGTTTTGTTGTTTCTAGCTAAAATGATTGCTTCAGGTGCTTGAGAGGGCTGGAGGTAGTAGAGCATGAGTACCATTACCTCAAGAACATGATGCATGAACTCTTCCAGGTACTTGGGTTTGTTAATAATTTATGTATGCACGCATATAATTAATTAATGCGAAGAAAATTTAGATTTTAAATGGTTGCAGCTGGAGCAGCAGAGGCTATTAGCTGCAGGAGTCAGATATCCAATGTAGAATTTACAACTTAATATGCCGGATAAGTAGAAAGCTAAATAAGTGCGTGATGATGATGATGATATAATTGTGTGTTGTAACACTTTCTTGTAAGGGCTTTGTTACCTTCTTCATAATATATAGCCACTTTGTATTTCCCAATTCCCAGATCCTACCTACATATCTATATATAGAATGCGAACAACCCATCTTAGTGAGAATACAAATTTTTTACTAAAAAAAGAAACTGGGCTGTGGCTTATATATGGGTGACAAAAGAAAAATAAAGGCCCACTGTATGACCCGCTAATCTTGGATATGGATTTTTTTTTTGTTTGATGATTACATTATTAAAGAAGAGCCAGAAAGAGAAATTGGTAAACAAATTAAATTGATACTTGTATATGGTGTTTTTATCTTTTAGTATTGGTTACTTTCTAATACAATATAGAGAATCACAACTCATTAAGTGTCTCGAATGTAACGAATAATTGATTACCAGGATAAGAAAGAGTAAATGTAATAAAAAAATGGTAGAGAAGCAAAGAAATGTAAAGACATGTGGGTGGGTGGTTTGCTTTCTCTAGTAGAGAGAGAGAGAGGCATGCAACAAATCCGGAGAAACGAGTAAGAAAAGGGACAGGTGTGGTTCATCCCCAAGTCTCCTTCGTAATCCCATCTCCTTAACTCTTAAGTTAAATGCACGAGCTGCTCCACGTCTCCTTCTTTTAAATCTTTATATACACCATAAATCAAAGAACTGATGAATACTGATACTTGCTTGTGTCAAATCCAAGCGATGAATAGTCTGCCAGAGGACTGCATCGCCAAGATCCTTTCCTTAACAACGCCTGCCGACGTTTGCCGATCATCGGCGGTCTCCAGGATCTTTAAATCCGCCGCCTACTCCGACAATGTCTGGAATCATTTCTTACCGACTCATTTCCCCGCCGGCTTTACGGCACCGACAGATCTTACCACCAGGAAACAACTCTTCTTCTCCCTCGCCCATAACCCTCTTCTTCTCAACGACTCCCATTTGGTAATCTTCTTTTCCTTTTATTTTTTAATCTGATCCAGGTTTCTAGATTTTTTATAGGCACAACCAAGTTGTCTGTCTATTCTAGTCAAATCTTGGATGGTGGAAATGGATGAGCTTCATATTATACTAGTTCATCTTTAAGTATAAAGCTCTGTTCATGCAAATCTCCCTATGTAACTTGTAGTCAAATAAGATCCATAACCTGTGGAAGTGGAATCAATATATCGGAATGCCTCTTTTTTTGCCTCTGTGATATGATTGCATTATTACGTTATCAAAGCAGAGCTTTTGGCTGGAGAGAAAGAGTGGTAACAAGTGCTACATGATGGCAGCGAGGTCCTTGAGCATTGCTTGGGGGGATGACCAAAGATACTGGCACTGGATCACTCTACCTGATACCAGGTTCTTTTTCATACAAACTAAGCAATTCCTATCATTGTCTAAACGTAGACCTGAAACTCCCTCTTCTGCATTATTGCTTCTAACAGATTCGGACAAGTGGCAGAGCTGATCATGGTGTGGTGGCTTGAGATCACTGGAAAGATTAACATAAGCCTTCTCTCCGATGACACCCTCTACGCCGCTTACCTTATCTTTAAGTGGAACGATAGTCCATACGGTTTTCGCCGGCTTGTAGAGGCCTCCCTTGTCTTGATTGACACCGAGATGACTGATGATGTTCAGCCTTCCCTGGTGAGTCTCATGCAAATTCCAGGCACTGAAGAAGAAGCTCCGTGCGCTGTTATGAGAAGAGACGGTTGGTACGAGGTGGAGTTGGGACACTTGTTCGAAAGGAGAGGAGATATGGGTGAAATAGAGATGAGCCTCAAGGAGACAAAGGGTCCTTTCGATAAGAAAGGCCTTATTCTCTATGGGATCGAGATTAGGCCTATGCCCTAGCTACTTCTAAACTACCTTTGCAGTTTCTCGTGTGCAATCTTGTGTTGTCTTCTTCTTCTCCTTTTCTTGATGCAGAAAAATAAAGTTTGTTCTAAAAAGTATTTCTATATGAGCTGGTGTTTTCGATTCTACTGACTATGACAATTCATTTATGTTTGAATTTTGTTTTTTGTTTTTTTTTATCTTGGTTTGCAATTATGTCGTCTGACCAACACGCAATTTTGAGAGGGAAATTAGATTAGTTTTCATTGTTAGACGATGACGACGACTGGTTGTTGGTTATATGATACTTGTAGTTTGTATTAATATATCACCTCGCAAGTTTGTTAAAAAATAGATGCATGATACATGTTACCTATACATATATTGTTTGAATAAGAGTAATAAAAAAATGATATAGGCACGGATCCAGCTAATATGAGTGCACATGGTTATGTTGAGAGGTTAGAGACCGACCTTACCAACGTGTTCATAAATCATAATGATATTCTTACCTGATTTCTTCTTTCTTACTCAGTCTGGTCAGGGCGAACGTTGGACTTACATATCCAAAATTAGCTAAGATTAGATATTTTTCTATTCAAACAATCTTTAATATCCGAATTCAGGTGTACTTTTGACCTAATTAGATATTTCAGCAAAATATCCCGTTCCGTTTTTTTTTACTCCTTTATTCATTTTCTCAAAATAAATTAAATCCAAACCGAAACTGAAATTTTTTTATTTTATGATTTTTCTTTTTTTCTATCTCTGATCCAGTAAATGGATTTCGCAATAACCATGATATATATA